TGGTTGTAATACTCAAACAATCCCACAGATGGCAGCAACTCCATCATTCTCACATGTTTCATCTGCCTGAGGAAACATTTTCAAATCTTCCTCTAACGTCAAAAAACATATTTTATTTCTACATTTTTATTTATTCAGTTATCATCAAAGTACTTGTCAATACTACAGACCAAGTACGACAATATGATCAGGGTCATGCGCCCATAATCATGTTTACTATAGGAAAAAAAAAACATTACTGAAAAATAAGAATCAGTTAATCCTCACATTTATCATTTTTTAAGAAGCAAAAACAGTAAGCATTACTGATTTAATGAATATATCATTCTATAATTTAATTCAAAAAGCTGAAAAATTCCTTCTTTTAATCTCCTTTAGCCTTTTTCGTTGATCTGGGATGAAGTTTCCTGTTGAACTAACAGACTTCTGATAACTGAACACTCTAACTCTTCCTGTTCAAAGGGAGTTTTTCCTCTCCACTGTCGCTACAAGCATGCTTAGTGCGAGGGATTGCTGAAGAGTCAATGAGTCGATGCAATCAACCGTTTTTCCTACTGAACTGTAAAGTGCCTTGAGATGACGTGTTGTGAATTGGCGCTATAGAAATAAACTGAATTGAATTAATAATCTTTTTTTAACTGTCCTCATATTTTCTCTTTATGTTGTTTATATTCCAGCTTTTTGTTCCAAAGATGGAGAAAATATGTGTATTTTACATGTGTATATATTTTTATCTTTTTTATTTTTTTATCTTTATTATCTTGTGTGGATGGATGTTTAGATATATATATATATATAAAACTTTAACTGGAGCGTGTAGCAAAAGTAATTTCCCTCTGGGATTATTAAAGTATTTCTGATTCTGAAAAGACCAACTATAATCCAGAAATAACTCAAGATCAGTTCAGATCTGTTGGACTCGGCTGTTATGTTTTTTTCTCTTTAGGGCGATGATGTTGCATTTAAACACAAAAAACAAACGCATCTTTCTGTTTTTTGACTTTTTATTCTATATAAAAGATAACAGGCAGAAATCTGAAGAAAAAAAAATAACAGTAAGAATGGTAGCGGAGATCGCGAACATGATGATTCGGATAAATGAATACAGCATGGAGGACAGCAGAGACACACTTTCCCTTTAGTAAATATTTCCTACATGTCAAAGCTAAAAGATGAGATGAAAAACATGAACAGAAGCTGATAGCTTTGGCGTTTGTCAACCAAACTGGTTCAGCACTGCCTAGAGCTATAAGCTAACGGCTAACACCATGAGCTAACGGCTAACGCCATGAGCTAACGGCTAACACCATGAGCTAATGGCTAACGCCATGAGCTAAGGGCTAATGCCATGAGCTAACCCCTTACACCATGAGCTAATGCCTAGTGCAATGAGCCTTTGGCTTATGCCATGAGCTAAGGGCTAACGCTATCAGCTAATGGCTAATGTCATGAGCTAACGGCTAACGCCATGAGCTACCAGCTTAGGCCATGAGGTAACCACTTATGCCATGAACAAACGGCTAGTGCTATGAGCCAATGGCTTATACCATGAGCTAATGGCTAATGCCATGAGCTAACGGCTAATGCCATGAGCTAACGGCTAATGCCATGAGCTACCAGCTTAGGCCATGAGCTAACCACTTATGCCATGTGCAAACGGCTAGTGCTATGAGCCAATGGCTTATACCATGAGCTAATGGCTTATGCCATGAGCTAAGGGCTAACGCTATCAGCTAATGGCTAATGCCATGAGCTAACGGCTTACGCCATGAGCTAACAGTTTACGCCATGAGTTAAATTATAAAAGCTTGGAAATATAGTCTATATCTGAATTAAGAAATATAAAACCATATCTTATGGCGTTGATTGAAATATATTATGGGGGCCTTGTAGCTACATGTTAGCATGTCACAATTTCCTGCAAGATAAAAATCAGAAGTAGCTCAGAACATTTGAGACTCCAATCGGCAAGGTTAGCATCTTTGATCTCAGACTGCAGAAACAAAACAAAAGTCCATAAAATGATACATTTTCATATTAATGTCCGTTTTGGTTCCAGTCTGTTGTAATTAAAACGATCTTTGTCAAATAGATCCACGAACAACAAGCCTGAGAAACGGGTAAAGCTGCTCTCCCATAAAATGGATCCATAAATCTACTCTTCATTACAGCAACAGCGTCTTCATCCAGGTGTTTCTCCAGACCCGCCGCTACGGTTGCTTATTCAGCAACTTGTTGTGGAAGCCTCTCTGATATGAGGTTCATCTGTTTCATTTTCCCTTTGGGATCAAAGTATTCTTGAGTTGAAAAGATGCAAACATGATCTCATCGCTTCGCTGAGCAGGAGCGCCATCATCATTACACCACGCCGCCAAGCTACGACCTCACTGAACCGTCTAATGGAAGAAAGCCCCTCCAAGCCTGAAGGGCGGGCGGCTGTGGAAGAAGCAATGTGTCGCAATGAGCTTGTCGCAGGTATGATGCAGATATTTTTGATTTATGCCCAATATTGAAGCGTGGTCTGCTCTATGTTATTCCACGCCACAACGCGAGAGGGCCAATCAGGAACTAGCAAGGATTGTGGGTGTCTGCGTGTCAGTTTGACGATCTTGTTCGCCGTCTACAACCCCTCATCCAACGCCGGACGACGCACACTTCACCCGCGAGTGTTCCCCAAAGACTGGCCGTGGCGCTACGTTTTGGCTTCAGGTCCAAACCAACAGACCGTCGCACAGAGCTACAAACTAGCGTCCTGCACGGCGTCTGGGATAGAGTCCGAGGTGTGCTAGGCGTTTTCGTGCTAGGTGGTTTCTGTTATTAGGTACCAAACAGGAAATACACATAGAGTAGAGCTAATAGAGAACTGACCAATCAGAGGCCTCCTGTCAGAGTGTCTGCGGAAGGGGTGGGGCATATCTGCGTTAACCGCGACGCACGCAGACGACCTGGTTTCTGAGTATAAACTAGGCTTTAAGTCAGGCTTACACTGTCGGTTTTTTGCCCTTTTCGGGCTAATTCTCCAATCGCGGGAGAATCTTTCGAACGCGCCAACTTTGAGCTTGATGGTGCGTCGTGTAGTGTACAGGGAGCCTCTAATGACCACCATCATCAGGAATCATGGGGTTGACCGTTGAGGGTAAATCGCTCAGTGGGCAAACAAGGATTCTTCTTCCTCCTCTCAGATATAAACCCAGCAGCATGGCGGGGG